CGCTCGAAAAGCTTCGAACTGGCCTTCCAAGGCCCTTACACCCTTGTCGTGCATCCTGGTGATGCTGGTCGACTGTATACGCCGTGCTAGGTCCCAGGACGGCCCTGGCCAGGCATGGTTGTGGCTCGTCCTCTGGGGCCCATGACGAATCACCCCCCAGGTCGGCTTTCTCACGTTGCAGGGTGTGTCTTTTTTGTCAGGACCTCTTCTGTACCCATCCTCATAGGAATATGCTCCTGTCCAACCCTGTGACGTCATCACGTTTCGTGGGCATTCTCGTCATCGACATCGCCGTTGCCGCCCCTTCCTTGCCAATCCGAAATGTCATCGAAGTCGTACGTTGTTGTCGCCACCGCCCTCATTGCCATCTGGATCATGAATGAAGCAAATCTGCGCGTTTTGGCCACTGGGTGTCCCGATTATCAAGGCCCCCCCGACACAGGGGGGGCACGCAACTCTACGGCGCGACGAGTGGGCGGCCCCTCTTCACAGGGGGGACGACTTTCCGTGAATGTTTGAAGACTCGGGAGGCTCACATCTCACATTTGCGAGTGTTTGAAGAATCGGGAGGCACATCTTTCCCTAGCAAATTATCGGAGCCTGGTACATACCCTTTCAATTCCGTTTTCAGCGTCGACTAGCGTCGATTGGCGTCTGGGAGTCGATGATGTAGCGCCGATTTGGCGTCGGCTGACGTCGGCCAGCGTCGATGTAGCGTCGAGTTGGCGTCGATCAGCGTCGATGCAGCGTCGATTAAGCCTCGATTCGCGTCGACCCGCAAGAGCCGACAGGATGGTACGGGAGGCTCCCGTGAGTTGCCACTGGACAGTCTGCCCGAGAGAGGAGCGGGTAAGAGATCGGCCCCAGACCGGCCTCGGTGTGCGCTCTCGGCCGCCACCCCGAGGGGAATCCAGCCGTGGCGGCCAGAAGTCCCCAGCAGACCCAAGCAGGGCCCACACCACCAACAACCCTTTCCTCCTCCTCCTCCTCCTCCTCCTCCTCCTCCTCCGTTTCCTCCTCCTCCTCCTCCTCCTCCTCTTCTCTCCTTCTCCTCCTCCTGCTCCTCCTCCTCCTCCTCCTCCTCCTCCTCTCTCCTCCTCCCCAGAGGCCAGGGTCACCCGCGGGGGCGCGAAGATAATCGCGCTCCGCGCGTCGGGGCCCGGGCCGCGAACGCGCTCTTCTCCGGGGCGGCTGCGCGGGGGGGGGGGGGGCGAAGATCACCACGCAGCTCGCGCCTCGCGGGGTGCGCTGCGCGAAGTTAGGCGACCCGAAGTTCAAGTCGGGCATGCCCCTGTACAGGAGGAGTATTCGACGATAGTCAGAGATTCGTGGGGGACGATGTTTCTATGCTCTGTTTGATATGTTTCATCCAGTTTTCACTATTTTTTGTTGTTTGTCTCCCAAATCCGCCTGTAGGAGGAGATGCCCGACCTAAAGTTGGGTGGTCCAAAGGTAGACACGTCAAAAAAGAAGATGACCTGTCAGCAGGTGCCCAACAGAACTCTGCTTGTCCCCCACTTGGCCCTGGGGACCCCCCGGGAGCCCTGGGGCACGCCTCGGGAAGCCGAACCCCATCGACGGCAGATGTGCCCACAGATCTCGCAAGCCAAGATCTCTTTTGCCGCATGTAGCTCTGTAGATCGACCCTCGGAAACCTCGCTCTTCGAGCCCCGAGCTCCGACACCCTGATTTTGTCAGTGCGGGCCCCTCCCGGTGTCTGGACCCTGCCGCCAGGCCGGGGGGCCCTCCTTCGGAGCCGTTGACGTGGCGGTCCCCCAGGGCCCCCTTGCGGGCCGCCAGAGGCGGAAGACGGCGAAGCCCCTGCGCGTGGGTTCCCCCAACTCCCTGGGAGGGGCTGGGTCGGGGCTAGGACGAGGGTAAATCCGTTCCAGAGCGTACATCCGTCTTAGAGCGTCCCCGCACGCTCTCAGACGTCCCAGGATGCTCTGAGAAGGCCGCGGCACCAGAGACATCCTCCAACGCCGCCGGGACTCCGAGACTCTCGATGAATCTTTACACCTGGATTTCTCTTCGTCCTGGCTTCGACGAGGAGGAAGAGGCGGAGAGGGAGGAGGAGGAGGATGAGGAGGTGGAGACGGAGGAGGAGGAGGAGGAGGAGGAGGAGGAGGAGGAGGAGGAGGAGGAGGAGGAGGAGGAGGAGGAGGAGCAGCGAGCGAGCCCGCGCCCAGAGGTGGATCAGGGCAAAACCGCGGGCGGCCTCTCCGCGCGCGCGAAACGCGCGCCTCGCCCCCCCCGAAGGGCCTCTCCCGCGGCGGGCGCCCCGCCGCCACCCCGCCAGTGGGGCGCAAACCCGCCCGCGCGACATGCCGCTGCCCGCGCGTCGCGGCGGCGCGGCGATGCCGCGGCTGATCCTCGCCACCGTGGCGGGCCGCCGCCTCGAGCCGCGCGCGCCGCCGCCGCCTCTGCTGACGCACACGCACACATACACACAGACGGCACACAAACACTCACACATGTGACACACACACACACACTCACACACACACTCACACACAAACTCACAAACTCACACACTCACGTACTCACGCACACACAGAAACATACACACACAAACTCGCACACTCGCACACTCGCACACACACAAACACACCAACACACCAACACGCTAATATACACACAACATACACGACACACACATACTACACACCAGACACAACACACACATTCACACACACGTTCCAATACACCAACACACCAACATACCCAACACACACAACACAGGCCACACACACGAGCACCACAAACAACACACAACTTACAACACACATACACCAGCACGCCCAACACACCCAACCTACCCAACACACAACCCACACACAACACACACCAACACGCCAACACACCCAACACACCCAGCACACACAACACGCAACACACACACAACACACACCAGCACACCAACACACTCAGCACACACAACACAACACACAACAGACACACACCAACACCACCAACACACCAACACACGCAACACACATACACCAACACACCCAACACACCAAACACACAACACCCACAAACACCAACACACCCAACGCACCCAACACATCCAACACACAACACACAACACACACACACTCACACCAACACACCAACACACAGCACACCCAACACACAACGCTGACAACACACACACACAACTCACACACATTCACACACACACACCAACACACCAACACAGCCAACACACCCTACACACAACACACACCAACACATCAACACACCAACACACCCAACACACCCAACACACAACACACACCAACACAGCCAACACACCCACCACACAACACACGCACTGACACACTATCACACCAGCACGCCAAACTCACCCAACACACACCACACAACAATTCACAACACACACAACACACATACAAACCAGGCGCGTCCGCCCTGTGTGTGGCCCCGGGGCCATCGCAGAGTTTCCCACTCCTCACTCAAGGTGAGGAAAACATTGCGATGCCAGGCTCTTGAAGGCACAGGGGGCGGACCTTCTGGGAGTTCTTATTGGTTCTCGGACCACCTCTCCAGCTCTGGTCGGGGGACAGCAAGGAAGACTCAAAGCTGCTGGGCATTTGCGGTGGCACGCTCGCACATCGGAGAAATGGGCCTAACCCCGATCTTCCGACCCCACCTACTCCGACCCCATCTAGGAGGCCTTTGGGGAAGCGGTGCAGGTAGAGACGGGGTGGTGGAGGGATTCGGTAGCAACTCATGGGAGCCTTGTGTGTCCTCGTGACTCCGTCTTTAGAGTGCGTTAGCGCGCGCTAGCCTCTGGTAGGCGACGAGAAAGCGCTGATTTAGCGTCGCCTGGCGTCGACTTCACGTCGTTTAGCGTCAATTCGCGTCTGTCAGCGTCGGTTCGCGAGAGCCAGCAAGATGGCATGGGAGGCCCCCGTGAGTTGTCACCGGAGAGAGAGGAACAAGAGGAGGATCGCGAGCTGCTGCAAGGAACCAGGGAGAATCAAGGGAGGAGAAAACACCCTGACCCGATACTTGGCGTTTACTAAGCGGCCCTGAGCGTTTACTAAACAGCCCTGCCCTGTTCGACTCCTTCTTTGGGTGCACTTGGGGTGATTCTTATGAGGGTGATCCTTCTGAGGGTGGATCTCCTGCCCTCTGGAGAGAAGAGAGGTCCCGCAGCCGCCCTCCAGCGGCGCGGCCGGCAGTAGCCAGCGCGCGGAGAACCGCCGCCGGCACCAGCCGCACGCGGGGGGCTCTCCCCCAAAGGAAACGCCGGGGGAACCTCGAAGAGGCGCATCCCTGCCCGTGGCCAGAGGCTCAGGGGCTGAGGAGCGAGAGCAGGAGGAGGATAGAGGGAGGACGGAGGGGCCCGAGCGCCAGATCGAATGTTTCCGGGCGCAGCTTCCAGCTGCGCAGGGGGGGCGAGCTTGTCTGAGGCACGCTCCTGCTTCTCTCTTGCCGTCGCACATTCTCCTGCTTTTCTCGCATTGGTTCTGCGACGTGCTGTGGATCCTGTTGCGCTTGTCTGAGGCACGCTCCTGCTTCTCTCTCGCCGTCGCACATTATCCTGCTGTTCTCGCATTGGTTCTGCGATGTGCTGTGGATCTGGTTGCTCATCTGGAACTCTGGAAATCTTGGGAGCGAGCGATGCCCGAGGGGGATATCGAGGAGGAGCAACTCGAGAATCCAGGAGGATCCGGGATCGAGGGTCGAGGAGGACCGAGGAGGAGCAACTCGAGGATCCAGGAGGCTCACGGATCGAGGCGCATCGAGGATACCGGGGAGGATATCGAAGGGGATCGAGGGCAGGGGGGCAGGCAATTCGCGAGCCCCGAGCCCCGCTCTTGGCGCCACGGCGCCGCGGAGCCGCCGACGCCTGCGGGGTTTTGGGCGGCGCAGGTCGCCCTGCCGGCGCGCGCGCGCCGAGGCCGAGAGCCCGGCCCTCCGCCCTGCGCCGCGCGGCCGCCCCCGCGCGGAGGGCGCGCGCGCGCGAGCGCGCCGCGGCTTCGGGCGCCATGGCGCTCGACGGCGCCACGAAGCTGTACAGGGAGATCTACCAGGATCGGCTGCAAGAGTCGGGGCAGCGTAGGACTCGAGAACTTCTTGGCATCGCTCGGACGGGTGCATTCTATTTCTCGGCGAGGCTCAGGCGATCGCAAACATGGCTCCAGGGGGCGTGGATTAGCGACGGGTCTGTGGGACATCGAGGATTTCCGCCGCCGAGCGAGGCGGCACCGGCCGCATTTTGGGGAGGGCACCTTCCCCGATCCAGGGAGATCTACCAGGATCGGCTGCAAGAATCGGGGGCTTTACCTCGACGAAGAAAAGACGCCATACACATAAACTTTTGGCGCTCCGCGCGGCTTTCTCGGATCCGCGCCGGGACACCCCTGGCGGCGCCTCCGGCGCCGCCCCTGGCGCCTCCGCGCGAGTTAGGGGGGTCCGGCGCAGATCCAAGAAATCCGCGCGGAGCGCCAAAAGTTTATGTTTATGGCGTTTTTTGATCCTCCACTACCGCTGTCCCGTGATCCTCCCCTCTTGCGGCCGCCCTCGTCTTGTTGCCTTCTTCTTGCACGCTGGAGAATTCGCCTCTCGGTTGCCCCGCATCGCCACACGCTGGAGTGGACTGCCTCTGCCTTGCCGCCGACGGAAAAGTGTAAGAATCGGGGGAACGTAAGACTCGAGTACCTCGGCATCGCTCGGACGTGTGAATTTCTTCTCGGCGAGGACCCTCGAGGAGCATCTTGGACCATGCTGCGACAAATACGCGCACGAAACCGAGGTATGCACGGGGAATGGGCGTCGCGCGATGGCGAGGTATTCTGGGCCGGAACTCGGGTTCGCCTACGCTTTCTGGCGAGCCCGTCCTGAGAGTTTTGACGGTCTAGCTTTCGGGAGCTCGCGTCAAATCTCAGACTGGATCGCGCCAGCTTTATGATGTCCCCGTCGGGCCAAACCGAGTCCCCCTGACCCGAGTCTCACGTCTCCCCGAAAGAAGAAGTCAGGACGAGGACAACTTTGGGTGAGGATACATCGAGAATCTCCGAGACCCGGCGGCTCTGGAGGATGTGTCGAGCGTTGCGGCCTTCTCAGAGCGTTCCGGTCCGCTCTGAGAGCGTGCCGGAACGCTCTTGAATGGATTTATCCTCGTCCTGGACCGAATTTCGCTGAATCAGCGATTCGGGCAGCTCGGTGGGCGGCGGATGTTGGGTTCGGGGTCCGGTATCCGAGCCCTACTCCCGCCTTCCATCGATTCGAGATGATAGTCGATAGTTTGGGGTAGTGTTCGGATGTCGCCACCTACAGGAAGCTGCATGCACTTAGAGACATGTTTTCCACTGGCGATAGCGGGCGTGACCAGGGGGGAGGGAGGTGAAATGGGGCTGGTCCCATCACGATTCGCACCGGCTCCGCCCAGAAATGCTTAGGAATGGCTCATTCCGAGACGGCGCCAGCGCGAGTCGTGATGTGACCAGGGGGGCCGGAGGGGAGGGGGCGGGGCCAGTCACAGGCGTTGTCGCGAATAATTCAGAGCGGGCTCTCGACTCAAAGGAGGGCGAGTTGAGACAACGGTGCATTGCTTCCTGGGGGGGCCTCGTTGCCACGGCTGGGCGCAGCTCGGAAAACTGGTGCGTTGGGACCCCGGGAGGTGTCCCGGGACTCGCTTTGAGCTGCCGCTGTCTCAGCTCGCTCTGCTCCGATTGAAGTGGCCGACTTGGGCGAGAGCTGGATGCGCCCAGCCACGCGCAGAGGGGGGTTCGGGGGGAGGGGGGAAGGCTTCTCAGAAGCAGCCCTGCTTCTTAGGAGGCGCGGGCCTTGCCTGCAGATGTACGGCCAGCGCCTTCTGAGAAGCAGCCTCCTTCTGAGAAGCCTTCCCCCTCTCTCTGCCCCCTTGTGCGCGCCGCCAAACCATGGCTGGGCGGACTGGCCGCCCGCGTATCCAGCGCGCTGCCCCTGAAGGCTCCGGACTCGAATTCAGCCGCGCCCGTGCTCCAGCTTCTGGGGTACCCCGCCCCCCACAATCGGCGTTGATTCATCAGCATTGGGCGTTTACTGAACAGCCCTGCCCTGTTCGATCCCTTGTCTGGGTGCGGTTTCCAATGGCTTCGCTCGTCGGGTTGCCTATAACTGGGGGTGGTTCTTCTGCCCTCTGAGGAGACCAGCAGCGGGGACCTTGGGATCCAGGTGCGCGGAGGCCCCGTCTTCCGCTGCCACAGCCAGGTCCTGGCGAAGACGGGGGGCCTCGTCGGGAAGATACGCCAGTTCGGCAGGCAGTTGCCGCGCCAGGTCCCAGAGGACAGCGTGCGCTTGCCGCTGGATTATTTCAGGGAGAAGAACTACACTACTCTCCTGGAGGACTCAGGAGGGACAAAAAGGCACATGCACACATAAAACGCGGATTCCCCTAAACCATCTCGGATACTAGTGGGATTCGGGGGGGAAGACAAAAGTCCAGACAAAGATTCAAACATACGGGAATCCTTGGATCTGTATCTATCTATGTGAGTCTCCCTGGGCGCCTCTGAGGACCTGGTGTCCATCACGCTGTCGCAGCCCATCGAGCGTTCGGCCCTGCGCGGGGCCGTGGGCTCGTTCCTGAACCAGCGGGAGGATCCCATGAAGCCCGGCTTCACCACCTCGCGCTTCGTCTCGGGGACCACCGGCGCCATCAAGCGGGCCAACCCCTTCTGCTTGGCGGAGCGTTACGAGGTTGACTGCGACTGCGAGAGAATGGCCGAGATGCTCCGCTTCAGCTACCAGGGCGTCATGTCCTTCTTCGATATCACGCCAAGCTCAGACAAGGAGAGGATCTCACTCACAGACAAGATGCTGAAGATCCTGCTGGACGCAGAGAAGTTCTCGGTGGACGCTCTCTATGAGCAGCTCCTCCGCTGGTTCTCCAAGGAGTCCTTCAAGATCGTCGGCGAGCGAAACTACTGCAACGCCTTCTACGCACTGCAGCACTTCGAGCAGCGCTGCACCGAGGAGCACTCCCGGGAAGCCCTGGTCAACATGGTAACCAACGAGATGCTCGCGCAGCGGGGGCCGTTCAACGCCGTGACCCGCGACGCCCGTTGGGGCTCGCTTCCCGTCCAGTTCGTCGAGAAGATCTTGGACTCCGACGCGCTGCCCATCGACAGCGAGACGGAGGTCCTCAACCTGATCGAGCGGTGGAACGCGAATGCGAACAAGCAGAAGGAGGAGATCGCGATCCTGCTTGCCTGCTTCCGGCCGGACGAGGCGACCAGAGGAGGAAAACGGGTACAGATGTCGCTGCCCTTCCCCCTTCAGTTTGTTTTTTTTGGGTGTGGTGGGGCTCCTAGAAGGGCCTCGTTGCCACGGCTGGATTCACCTCGAAGTTCTTGTCAGGGCGCACCCCGGGGAGATGTCTTGGGGACAGCGGTAGGGGTAGCTGGTGGCCGTCCCCAAGGAGACGCGCGGGTCCCTCATCGCCTGGGTGCGGAACATGGGGTGGCTGGACGGGAACGACGTGATGTCGAAGGCACCGCCCGGGCCAGCTTTTGACTCGATCCGGAAGATCCTGCAGGGGACCGGCCAGAGGAAGGAGCCCCGCACCAACCACGGCAGCGGCGCGTGGATGGAGCAGGGGGGGCCCGGGAGCACCCGGGCGGCCTTCGACGAGTCGGCTTTCGGGAGGTCCGCCTTCGGGCGCACCGACGACTCCTCTGGCGGCGAGCAGCAGCAGCCCAACACCTTCCTGCAGTACAAGGGCGGCGTCGCCGTCTCGGAGGGGCACAGTTTCAGGATAGGGGCACAGCAGCGCCTGGTCCAGGTGGACGCGCTCCGTCGGGCCGGCATCCAGCGCATGCGCGTCGCCTTCTCCAACCCGGGCGCGGCGCTGTGGGACGTCGACCACGAGGTCTTCGTCGGGCTGTCCTACGGCGAGGGGAGGTACTTCGGCTACATCGTCAGCGGCACCGCCTTCGCCGGCATCTTTGGCATGAGGGCGCTGGCCAGCGCCGCCCCCGCACCGCAGAAGGCCGTGCACCTGACGGGCGGCGGGAACAAGGTCGAGTTCGATCTGGCCCTAGAGGTGCAGCTGCACCGCGCCAACCTGGTGGTGGCCTGCAAGCTGCAGGTGATCTTCGGCAACGAGGTCTCCCCCGAGAACCTGCGTCGTCGAGAGAGCACGGAGTCATGACCGAGCCACGACCACAGTTCTCGATCCCGCGCTCACGCCTCGACATCTGGAGCTGGATCGATCCGTGAGGGCCTCGGGGGCCGAAGCGAGATGATGCTTTTTGTTTCCCCCGCGCCCTCTTTTGTGATTTCAGGTCTTGACGGAGGAGTTCTTCCAGATCTCCTACGAGACCTTGCGCACTGGACCTGGCCTGCGATATCAGGTCGTGGCTACTGGCTTGGGGGACGCGGAGCTTGATGTCCAGCTTGCCTGGGTCGGCGGAGGCATTGAAGGCGAGGAGGAAGACACCACGGTCGCCGGCATGCTGGACTTCGCTGAGGGCGACTGAGGCGCATCAGCTCCTGATCGATTGCTAGCAGTACGGTCAACCACGGCAGCAAGGATTCAGCAGAGCCGCCTTTGCATCCTTGCCCGTTCGGCCTGCTCTTCGCAAGTTTTGCGGGCCACTCGCCAGTGCAATTGTTTCAGCATCGACGTCCAGGGGTCTTGCTTCTTTACCCAGCATCCTTGTTCGATCTTGTTCTCATGGTTGACTGTCGGAGTCTGTTGCTCATGTTTGTGCTTCAACGCCGAAGACGCAGCGTTTCACCCAGGGGGTACAGTTGAAGACCGATTCGGGAGGCGAGAGGTAACTGATGCAACCTTGAATGCAGTTGTGTAGGCTGTACCTTTATACCTTTGTTTCGGCGTTCTCTGAAGAGGTTGACTGCTTGCTGGCTGAGGCCTTGTCTGTGCGCTTGGCTTAAAGTCGCGCCCACAGGATAAAAAAGAGGGTGTGGGAAGTATCCGGCTCTTTGAAAGCCCTCCTTTGCTTGCAGGCGGTGATCGCGAAGGGAGTGGGACTCTCTCGCTGCGGTCTGGTTCCTTTACCTCCGACAGTAGGTTGCTTCTATTCGTTAGCCTCTAATGCTCTCGAGTTCCCCCCGTTTGTTTACATTGTGTTGTTGCTGGTGTTGTTGTAGTGGTTGTTGTTGTTGTTGTTGTTGTTGTTTTTGTCGTTGTTTTTGCGGCTGACTTCTCAGATATACAGTATATTCGTTGTTGATGCACCCCTGCGGTGCACATTGTGTTTTTGAAGTAAAGTGCTTCTCCCAACGGTCGGATCTTATCGTGAACAAATTGAAGTGAGTCTTGGTCCTCAGAATGCGCTCTTGGGCCCCGGGCCACAACAACAACGGCTCCCGCCTCATACTTCCCCAACATGTTTTCCACAATCGCGCTCTCGCGCGGGGTGTCTCACAATAGATGCAGGAGACGCGCTCTCTCGAGGGACGTCCTCCCATCTTATTCAAACGCAGTGCCCTCGACATTCAGGAATCACGCTCTCCCTTTATGGTTTTTCCAGAGTCCTCGTTTTGAAGAGACAGCGCCCCGCGTCCACTCTCTCCTTACTCACTCCTCTTCCCCCTTTTCCCTCTTCCCATATCTGACTCTGCTCTCCGCATGTCCAACTTGTTGGTACATCCCTGAAAAGTTTCGTGGCCCCACAGGGAGCTCTACCGAAGAACTCAGAGGCAGGGTCCGCATGTGTCCCCCCCGCTAATTTCGGCAATCCCCTAGCGAGGATCGTGACCCCATAGGGAGCTTCACCGACGTCCCCAGCGGCCGGGTCCGCCTGGCGCTGGGGCTTTCGACGGACGTCTTGGGGCCTCAGGGTTGGGTTTTTGAGGAAGGTTTCTTGTGGTCGAGCTTCTACTGTATGGGAAGTGTAGGGGCAGACGAAGGCCCAGAAACTACAGGACAAGATATGGGATATCTGGCATGGGTCACTCGACGCGGATCTGGCGTGAATGCGACGCGGATTCGACGCGGGTTCGACACGGATCGGACGAGTCCGACATGGATTCGACACGGATTCAACGCGGATAGGGCCGCGTCGGGACAGGCAAGGTCCCCGGTCCCCGGGGGATGCAGCACAAGACGTCAGCATGTTCATTCGTGTCTCCCTGGGCCGCTTTAGGGAGGTTGGGGGCAAGTCGGCGTGGCGCCGCACGCGTGCAGCAGGCGCCAGCCACAGGGGGGTCGAGGATCGGGGATCGAGGAGGACCGATTGTCGAGGAGGATCGAGGGTCGACGCTGTGAAGAGTACACATCCACCAGGCAGGTTGGGGCTGTTAGATGTAAGGAGGTGAGCTCTCGACCCGCCTCGCACACCCTGCATACCGCGGACGCCACGCCCAAAGGTGCTAGTGCTGACTGGGTATCCCTCCTCGTGCCTTGAACGAATGCCAGCGGGGGATGATCGGGGATCTAGGAGGACTGGGGATCGAGGAGGGTCGAAGGCCGATGCTGTTCATGTGCGAGGAAATGACAAGACAATCGCAACGCTGGGCTGAGGCAATCTCCTGTGGGGCCCCCTGAAGGGATACCCCGACCCGTCAGCGATGTTGACCTGCGCGCGGCACTCGAAGCCAGGCGTCGCGCGCGGGTCATCACCGCTGGGGGGTCGGGACGGGCCGTTGAGGGGGGACACCGGGGCGGTTCCCTCGGCCCAGCGGCTGCGGTTGGCTGTCTTCGCCCCCGAGCTTTGAAGCATGCTCTTTATCGTTGTTCTGGTCGGTGTGCGCCTCCAAAGTTCCCTCGGCGTCCTCGGAGGCCTCGAGAGAACTCCCTGATGCCTCGGCGTGCACCACATTTTTGGCTGGTGTTCGCCTCCACTGGAGGTCCCTGGAGGCCTCCCGAGGCCTCCAGGGACCTCCAGTGGCCGCGATGGGGCAGATGGAGGCCTCGGAGGGTCGGATGGAGGAGACGCGGCGCCGACACCGGCAGGGCCACCCCGAGCGAGGAGGTCAACGGTGCCTTACGATCTGGAGGTTGGAGGCGTCTCGAGCGGGACGCAGAACGACAGCGACACGCCACCACCCGAAGCAGACAAAACGGCATAAACGTAAACTTTTGGCGCTCCGCGTGGATTTCTTGGATCCGCGCTGGGGCCCCCCTGGCAGCGCCTCCGGCGCCGTCTCTGGCGCGCTCCGCGCGCAACGAGAAATCCGCGCGGATCGTCAAAAGTTTATGTGGATGTTCTCGTTGTTCCTCTAACTACGACGACCCCTTCTTTGCTTCTTGACGACTGTGGTGCCGGCGTCGCCGTCTTTTCGCGAGAGCGAGCTGGGAAGTATTGGGGCAGAGGCAGAGGCAGTGAGGTCAGGGGAGAATGTGAGTGCCGCGGCAGCGGATCGTGAGGGGGTCGATCGGAGCGACGATGGGGTGATGTTGGCTGTTGTTCTCAGAGCGCCCGAAGACGTCGAGTCAAAACACGAAGCCAGCGGCGCCTGGCCAACATACGCACACGACCCGCCTTCACTGGTACGCCTTCTCCTTCCTCCCTCCTTGTCCCCCCCATTCCCCCTCCACCTTTCTCCTTCATTCCTCCCTTCCTCTTCCCTCCTTTTCCTCCTCGCTTTCTTCTTCTTCTTCTTCTTATTCTTCTTAGTATCCTTATTATCCTCCAGTAGTAATCGTTATATTCATAGCATTACCAACATAACTAATTGCACTACTATCAGTACTGTTATTATTGTTCGTCGTCGTTGTCCGCCCGCCGCGCCCCCCCTCCGTCTCGCCTTCCTTTCATAGTCTCGTAATTGTCCCCTCCTGCCCAAGCTAACCTTCTCCCGTCTGTTAACCTCCCCCCTCTTCTAACCTCCCTCCTTCTCCTCTTTCATTTCCCCTTTCATCTTTGATTTTTCTTTTCCTCCAAACTTTCCTCTCCTCTTTCGTCTTCTCCTACATCCCCCCCTCCTCCTCCTCCTCCTCCTCCTCCTCCTCCTCCCCACTACCTACCCGTCACCCTCCAGCGCACGCGAGCTCGCGCGTGCGCGAGCTCGCGCCGGCGCCCCAGAACCTTCCCGATGCCTCTGGAGGCCTCCCACTACTTCCCGACGGCCTCCGAATACTTCCCAGAGGCCTCGGGACACTCCCCGAAGGCCTCCGAAGACCCCCAGGGAGTCCCCCGAGGCCCCCGCGGAGGCCTCTGAAGACCTCCGGCGACCCCCGCGGAGGCCTCCGACGGCTTCCGATGGGCCTCCGATGGGCCTCCGCGCGCGCGCGCGTGCCAGGCGGCAGCCCTGGCCACCGCCGCGCTGCGCTCGCTCGCGCAGGCCCGCCGCCTCCTGGGGCGCGGGGGCGCCCCCCCGCGCAGGAGCTCGCGCTGGCGCGCGAGTCGGGCCGACCTCCTCCTCCTCCTCGCCTCCTCCTTCCTCCTCCTCCCCTGTCCTCCTCGCTCCTCCTCCTCCTCCCCTGGTACGCTGGGCTCCTCCTCCTCCTCCTCCTCCTCCTCCTCCTCCTCCTCCTCCTCCTGAGCCACGTGGAGTCACGCCGAGCCCAGGTCACGACGTCCTGCTCGGTCGAGAGGCGCGCGCGCGAGTCCAGTGGAGCAACGTCGAGCCACGTCGATCGCAGAGGAGCAACCAAGGGCACAAGCACAGACTCTCGACGGCCCGACAGGTGTGCGCGCGTGCGCGACGGAGCATGACGCCGTGGCTCGCCTCGACGTGGCTCGACGCGGCTCGAGGAGAGGAAGACAGAAGGGCGTAGCCACAACCTTTCGACGGTCCGCGTGGATCTCTTGGATCTTCGCTGGACCCCCTTCCCTGGCGGCGCCTCCAGCGCCGCCCTGGCGCGCTCCTCCCTGTCGGAAGCATCAGATATGTTTTGTTACCGGACTTGAGTTTGGCGTTTTACCTCCTGGAGGCTTGCCGAGGACCTCTGGGGTCCTCCAGGGACCTCTGGAGATTTCTGGTCGACGTCGTCGTCGTCGTCGTCGTCGTCGCCATCGTTGTCGCCGCCGCCGCCGCCGCCGCCACCGTCGTCGTCGCCGTCGCCGTCGCCGTCGTCGTCGTCGTCGTCGTCGTCGTCGTCGTCGTCGTCGTCGTCGTCGTCGTCGTCGTCGTTTGGTGTCTCCGCTTTTGTCATCGCGCCACGCTGGAGCCTCGCCCTCGAGTCGGGGAAACGTAAAACTCGAGTAAACCGGAGCTCGGGTTTGTCGAGGTTTCTTGACGAGCGCGTCATGGATGTTAACGGCACAGTTTTCGTGATGCCTGCAGCGGGAGTTCACGTCAGACTTTAGACTGGGTCTCGTCATTTTCATGATTCGCCAGAGACAAAGTAAGTCCCACTACCACCAGCCAGGGGGTTGGCTGTCCCACCCTCTCGAGCTGGTGGCACCTCGTTCCGGGCATGCCTCCAGAGAGCGCCCGGAAGGAGGTGCCACCAGCTCGAGGGGAGGGAGCGGCCACTCCCCTAGCTGGTGGTAGTGGTGCTCGTGCTTCTCCTGAGTGATGGCCACGTCAGGCCGGCCCCAGTGCCCCGCACCCGAGTCTTACGTCCCCCCGATCGGGGAGCCACAGAAAAGGCCTCGTGGGGGGAGGGGTGTGCGGCCCGCGGAGCCCCCCGCAGAGAGAAGCAGAGCGCGGACCCTCCCAAGACGAGGTCAGCACGGAAGCCGAGAAAGAATGGGATGGGTTCTGGGCTGATGGGGCAATCTTCCACCACCAATACCATAGGCAGGGCGGGGGAGAAG